CTGAGGTGCTTCCGTCAGTTTTGAATGAATGGACAAAATAGTCTGGCAAAGTTAGTTCAGAGATCAGCACTCCTGTATGACCTTCCCAGCCCTCTGACTTATTTCTCTGTGCTGTTATAAATGTATTACGCCTGGACAATTCATGGAATTGAATCAATGTACATAAGCTCTGTAAATTTCTTTCCAACATGAAGTTCCTTGGGTGTTGGACTCCAGTGTCATCCCACTGTAGCCTCTCTTTGAACCTTGAGTCACAGTGATAGTGACAAAAAGAAGTAACTGTTCTAAGGTTGATTGGGGGTTTATATTGTTCATTTGTTTTGGTGTAGACCTGCCGGGACCTGAAGGATCGTCAGCAGTTATTAGCATACAGGAGTAAGGTAGATAAAGGATCAGCAGAGGAAGAGAAGATTGATGCCCTTCTCAGTAGCCCGGTGAGCAGCTACAGCTTACCCTTACAGCAGTCTAAGGAGACAGTTGACAGAGTAGCATCATGTGTATGCTCCCAAGGCCTGGAAAGGATTGCAGTTAGAGCCACGTGAATATAAGGATCTCCTATGGGCCAAAAGATCATAAACACTGTTTGCAACAGCAGAAATTACTTCTGAGATGTAGGCTGATAGAAGGATTTGGGGGCCTCAGGTTGAGACTTAACTGTAATGCTTTGATAATTGTTAAACCTAACGGGTGGGAGGGACCGACTATTAGAAGTATAAAAATAACTATTGCAGATTCAGATTATCCAGACTGTATGGTCTCCTGGGGATGGATGTGACCCATCTGTTGGAAATAAGAAGTGGACGAAGTAGACATTAGCTATTTGGGAGCAGAGCTGGTTCATCTCTCATAGCATGAATTACTGAGCTTTTTGTTAATATGGAACTAGTTCCATGTTATATATTTTGGGACCTACTTCAAGGGTCTTCTAAAAGTAGTGGGATTCTGGTTCTAAGAAGGGCAGAACCAGAATAAATGTCCTAAATTGGGTTTGTAAAATACAGAATAGGTGTTTAATTCGTCTCTGAATAAATCAACTATTCTACACATTTAAAAAAATTTCTCAGCACCTCCCCATCTGATTCTTCTTTTTTGCTTTCTTGCATTACTTAGCTGTGAGCCTTGTTTTATTGCATTCTTTCTTACCTTGCTGTAGGGATAAGTGAAAACTGATCGCACACTTTCATTGTTTCCTCTTTCCACAGCAAATTCGATGGAAGAATTAAGTGGCATTAACTACCCTGAAGCTTGCCTCAGTTTTTCTTTTCCTGCCTGTGAAAGTAGAGAGAGCTCTTCTTTGGGAGAGCATCAGCATCACATCGCTTGGGCTGATTATCAACAGGCAGTGCCTGTCTGCATCTTATGACAGAAGCCAGCACCTGGGCACAGATAGCTTCAGACTGATCTTTTGTCCAAGGGATCTAAGGGCCAAGATCTAAAGCTTTGACTCCTGAGAACAATTCTCTCCACCTGGTGCTCATGTGAAGGTGGGCATGATTTCTAGCTTGGGCCCATACTGGGTAAGATCTTTCTTGGTCTGAGAAAAGTCACTGCTCCAGAAAGGAACTCTCTTAGACTATGGGGTACAGATGTCTTAGGATAGCCAGTCCATTCCACTCATCTAATTATGATCCAGGACTTGGTGCTGGACTTTGGCAGTTCTGCTATGAATAAAGTCAGAACAGAAAAAAATGGCTGTCTTCCAGGGGCCTCAGGAAGGGGTGCCAATGTTGCCCAGGACCTGCTGGAGACACACTGAGACCAGACTGCACAGTATCCTCTACATCATGACAGACATTGCCCAGATGTTGTGTTTCTTCAGCCAGTATCCCTCTGCTGCCCCAGTTTACTCTCTGTCCAAAAACTTAGGGTCCCTCTCTCACCTGTACACTGAGATGACCCTGTTTGGGTGATGAGATATCCCCCTGAGCTTTTCCTCTACTTCTCCTATCCCAGACCCATAACCTTATGGAGCTCAGATGTAGCAATTCTGGAGAGCTCTCCCTTCATGTAAAATCTCATTATTTCACCAGGAGCTTCCAGAAGTCTCACCTGGGCTAAACTCAGTGGCACTTCAGTTAGGATATTTAGATGGTGGTTTTATTTTCACACTTGTTTTTTGGGAGGATAATGCTATATTTTTGCCCCATACCATTGCCTCTCTTCTCTTCAGTGTGACTGAACTGGGTTTTCCTGATATGCCTAGACTCCTAATAAAGCTGTTTCTTCCTTGGTGCCTTCTCTTCCCCTTCCGGTTGTTTTATGCAGAATGATGAAATAATTGGTCAATATCTTGGGACCACTACAAGTCTCCCTCAGTGACTGCATTCAGCACATAACAGGTGATAGAGTAGTAATAGTGCTATAGCAAAGCAGGGCCATTTGGTTAACAGAGCACTGATCTGGGAGACACAAGACCTAATTACTTTTCCCAGCTCTACCACTAACAAGCTCTGTGGTACTGAGCTTGTGGGTGAGTCCCTTTCTCGCTCTACTCATTACCCTCATCTATAAAATGAGGGCACAATAATCTAAAAGTTTGTAGAGTTCAATACTCCTGTGACCACATGGGTGATGTGGTAGAAGAAAAAGAGAAGATGCATGCTTTAAGGCAATATGGTTCTCAACTGGAGGCAATTTTGCCCCTCAGGAGACATTTGGCAATGTCTGAAGACACATTTTTTTTTTTCAGACAGAGTCTCACTCTGTTGCCCTGGCTAGAGTGCCATGGCATCAGCCTAGCTCACAGCAGCCTCAAACTCCTGGCCTCAAGCGATCCACTGCCTCAGCCTCCCGAGTAGCTGGGACTACAGACATGCGCCACCATGCCCAGCTAATTTTTTCATATATTTTTAGTTGGCCAATTAATTTATTTCTATTTTTAATAGAGATGGGGTCTCACTCTTACTCAGGCTGGTTTCGAACTCCTGACCTTGAGCGATGTGCCTGCCTCGGCCTCCTAGAATGCTAGGATTACAGGCATGAGCCACCGTGCCCAGCCTGAAGATACTTTATATTGCCACCCTGGGGGAGCTGCTAGCATCTAGTGGGTAGAGGTAGAGAATGCTGCCTTTATCCACTAGAAGCACAAGAAAGCCCCCCACAACAAAGAATTATCCTGTCCAAAATTTTAGTAATGCCAGTGATGAGAAACCCTGCTTTAAGAGGGTAAGACTATCTTTTGCTTCTCCATGTTGCAGTCTTCTTTGCAATTCCTCATATTTAGTTGAGGAAACAGGAGTTTATTTTATTTATTTATTTATTTATTTTTTCATACCAGTGCGCCAGTAGAAAGGAAACAGGAGTTTAATATGCTAGATTGTGCTACAGTTACTGGCTCATCTTCATTTTTTTTTTTTTAGTCTCATTTTGTTACCCAGGCTAGAGTGAGTGCCGTGGCGTCAGCCTAGCTCACAGCAACCTCAATCTCCTGGGCTCAAGCAATCCTGCTGCCTCAGCCTGCCAAGTAGCTGGGACTACAGGCATGCATCACCATACCCGACTAATTTTTTCTATATACATTAATTGGCCAATTTCTTTCTATTTATAATAGAGATGGAGTCTGGCTCTTGCTCAGGCTGGTTTCGAACTCCTGAGCTCAAGCAATCCGCCCGCCTCGGCCTCCCAGAGTGCTAGGATTACAGGCCTGAGCCACCACGCACGGCCATGGCTCATCTTCACATAGTGGTAACCTTATTAACTAGTGTATTGGGGAGGGTTCATGCAGAGAAGCAGAACCACTAGGAGGATATATACATTATCTACATATGCAGTCTTTTAGAGGGATTGGACCTTACTAAATGAAATATGGCAGCTGGATAAATAGTCTTTCTAAAGTTGCTGTCTTCATTATCTGGTGGTAGAGTTTGCAGTCCATAGGAAAGGCAGTGGGGAAGAGAAGATGGATATAAAGTGAGGGAGAGCGGGGACAAGCTAGAATCCATGAGAATGCCTAGGACCCTAGTCTGTTCTCACTGCCTCCAACCTTGACAAAGTGGGTATCCTGCAGGAAAAGCTGGTACCTTTGTCATGGGACTAAAAACACCTGGCCTAGGAGTAAGCAGCTAACGGAGGATCCAGGGGAAGGTGTGGTAGTTACAGGACCAGCTGCTGTCCCACACCAACAAAGTACCCAGTAGATAAGCAGCAACATATGTGAACTACAAAAGTGCCTGTCCTGACCTTGCAAGCTGAAACACAACTGGTTGCTGTTTAATTTCTACCCTCCCAATCTTGCACAAAAATATCTCCCATGGCCCACTCTAACCGGAAACATACAGGGAAGGGAATTCTAGAAAATGCAGCCTAGCCAAGTTGACATGTTACAAAGCCACAGCAACTGAATCCTCAGTTTTGAAAATGCTAAGTGAGAGATAGGCCTAGAATTCATATATTTTTAGTTGGCCAATTAATTTATTTCTATTTTTAATAGAGATGGGGTCTCACTCTTACTCTTACAACCTAACATGTGTTGCATTGGTTGTGTTGATCTGGGAGGTTTGAGCTCCTTTTTCCTTCAGAGCAGGAAACATCACTTGTAACATTAGGATGACCTGCCCACTATTTTGGTAGAAGGAGGTGTTCCTTAGATTTGATGAGAACTTCCATGTTTCTCACTTTAAGTGTTGGAGACTTTGCATTTATTTATTTATTTATTTTAGAGACCAGGTCTTGCTGTGTTGCCCAGCTGGCCTCGAACTCCTGGGCTCAAGTAGTCCTCCCACCTTAGCTTTCCAAGTAGCTGGGATTACTGACATGAGCCACCATCCCCAGCAACTTTGCTTTTAAAGAGATTGGAAATATGACATAACAGCCTTCCTTTAAGAGGGATTAGAAAAGCCAGACACAAAAGGTCATATATTTTGTGATTCCATTTATATGAAATATCTGGAATAGGTAAATCCATACATGATAGCAGATTGACGGTGGGGAGGGATGGGGAGTAACTGCTTAATGGGTTTGAGGTTTCTTTTGGGGGATACTAAAATGTTTTAGAACTATACAGAGGTAGTGATTGTACAACATTATGAATGTACCACTGAATTATTCACCTTAAAATGACTAATTTTATGTTAAGTGAATTTCACCTCAGAATTGTGTTGATTTCTTTGAACACAACGAGAATGGGTTGGAACAATAACTCAATTGCTACTACTAAGATCTGTATGGTATTCTAATTTGTACAAAAACTAGAAATCCAGAATCTTCTGTTGGGAAGGTCCCATACTTCCCTGGTATAGTACTCATGTAAGTAGTGCAAGGTACTCATGTCCTCATGTTCAGATCAGGAAAACCTCTAGGTGGGGCTTTCCCCTTTAAGACTCAGAGACTGAAATAATCTGGTAGCTAAGGAGTCATAATGGCAAGGAGTCATTTCTTGGGTAATTCTCCTTAGAAATGTAGTTATTACCCTCCAGGACCAGAAGTATGGAGGAGTAGGGCCAATCTTCTCTGTTTGGTGATACATGTATGTAGATGAGTTTATGTATCTTTGGGTTTATTTTGTAAAATCTAGTTGTTCCTGCCCTAGATAGGGGACCAGTGATACTTAATTTGGGCTCTTTTCTATCCTGTGGGAAACACAGAGTTTAGTGAAAAAGAAGAATTTCTTCGAAATGTGGTCCTATGTGTTCAGGTCTACTTCCAAAACATAGGAGGAATGGAAGGGAGAAGGTACTGGCCTTAGAACACCCGTGAAACCTATTGCTAATGTAAATTCCTCTGCTGAAAAAAGTGCCTATGTAGCCTACATGGAAAAACATGACTTTGGATTTCTGTTAAGATTTGTCATGCATCCAGGATTCATGGGCAGTCAGTGAATTCTGGATTCCAGTGAATCCAGAATTCAAGGACCCACACTCAGAGAAATGAACAAGTTCAGAATCTGGGAGAAAAGAGTTACTGAAGCTCACCATCACAAGTGCTTGTGACTTGGGTGCACATAACCATCATACACTTGCCCTCCTTTATAGACCCCTTTTCTTCCAGGACAGGAAACCAAATTGATTAGTATCTGTCACTGCAGGAAATGGTGGCTTGAAAATGGACCTGCTAGAGGACCTTGCGTCCCTGCAGTTTGACTGTGGGATTTCAGAGGAAGAAAGTTTCTTGCTGTATTTGCAGGGCCGTTATCGAGGACTGATGATCAATGCCTGTGCCCATGCAACCTTCTTCTGCAAACTATTATGCAATTTGAGGTAAGCTAGGTCTCCAAGTTTAGGAAGATGGACAAGAATCTCACCACTGAGAATTCAAGTGACTTAAACTTTTTATATTGGAGGAAAAGTTTGGTAGGGGGATTGTCTTCCTATCTTTTCTAACCTAGAGTCAGTCACTCCTGGTCTGAAAGGACCAAGAAAATCCATATCAGGGCCTCCTGGCTGTGGTCACATAATAAAGCATGGATTGGTTAAATGATCATTCATCCATTCATTCACTCATTATCACCACCAGCTTATCTTCCACAATACTAATTACTAGCCATTCCTGTCTATTGGGGAGGAATGCAAACCTGGTCAGTACTTTCTTTCTTTTGAGATGGAGCTAATGGAATGTTTCCTCACAGAAAAGCTAGCTGGGACTTTGCAGGCCCTATAGCCAGGTAACTTGCTTGAAACCAGGAATATTTGCAGAGAAATTCTCAGTCCAGTCCTGGTTTCTGGTATCTTTATACAATGTAGCTTCAGACACTTAAATAGGAGTATTTGAACCAGGTAACTAGAATTAGGCTCCTGGATTCTATAACTCCAGGTCACTCTGGGAGTATCAATCACATCCTCACTCTACTCCTCAGTTTACTGTTCTCTGAAGTTAGATTAATTCCTGGATGGTGGAACCAGATCTTAATTGAATGAGTTTATAGGTATAGCACATACCCAAGGAGGCAGGCTGCTTCATTGAGTTTGGTGATTAGCTTACTGTAAGGATGCATAAACCTATTGGTTGTACCCAAGATGGGGGGGGGGGTGGACACAACATATGAAACTTGCAGGAGGCATTTTATGTTTGGAGGGGTTAGGCACTAAGAGAAAGTACTCTTCCTTCAACCAGGAGAGAAACCTTAAATAGAATGTATCTTGTGATGCTTATATGGAAAATCCAGAGCTTTAAGACTCCAGTTTTACAGAAATGCAAAACAAATATAAGTTTGCCTTGTAACAACAAAAGTAATACCTTATGTATTCAGAGGTTTGACTTTTTTAATCTTGTGCCAAGAAAACACATCTAGAACCAACAGTAAATGAACCTCTAGAAAGAGTGGTCTCAAATGCCTCAGTTTCTCAGGTATGTATTGTTTTATAAACTATTTACTTTTATAAATCATGACATTATTTAAAAAACTAAATTATCTGGTTTCCCAGGTCTGTACAGAACTGAAATAGCAAACTAGAAAGAGTAGGTATATGGTAGGAGAGGAATGCTACAGCAATGAAAATTGACAGCTGAGAGTGATGTCAGCAAGGAGGAATAGAAAGCTCCAGACCTTGTAACCCTACAGAGACACTAACTTAACAACAAGGTGTAATCCAAAAAGCTCTTAGGAGAACTTCAGAAACCAGCTAAGAAGTTACAGTACCCCAGGCAAGTACAAAGCCAAGAACAGCTACATTGAAAGAGGTAAGAAAAGACATTGCACTTCACCTGAGATACCCCTTTCCTCAAGTCAGCACAACTCAATGTAATCAGGAGAAAATGCCTAATTTGTGGCTTCTCCCTTGGAGGGAAAGAAGAAAGTGGAATGTATGTCCAAGATTCCAGCTTTTCAGGGGCTTCCTGAGGGATTGGCTTCTGTCTCACATGACTTGGAGCACTGATAGGGAACCAACATATTTTGGATTAGAACAAAGGAAAGCTCAGTAGCTTGTTGCAGCACCAAGAACCTGCAGTAATGCAGGTAGACACCAGAGAGAGCAAGAAATTATGAGCCTCTGCAAAAGAAACAGGCAAACCTCTCTAATTGGAAAATTACAAACCCAAACCTAGAGAAGACATTCCCAGAAAATATTTGAGAGATCACCAGAATCTCTAGCTGAGCTGGTTGGTAAGGGTCTTCCCCTGTATGAAGCCACTCTGTAAAGACTGGGAGAAGTGGCAACTTTTTTCAAATGCCCAAATTCCAACAAAAGATAAGGCATATGATAAAACAACAAAATATGGCCTAATCACAGGAACAGACTAAATCTCCAGAAACCAACCCTAAAGAAACAGAGATCTATGAATTACCTAATAAAGAATTCAAAATAATCTTAAGTTCCATGAGCTACAAGAAAACATAGATAAACAACTAAATGAAATCAGGAATACAATATGTGAACAAAGGAAGAATATCAACAACAACACACTATAAAAAAACCCCAAACAAATTCTGGGCTGAGAAACACAGTAACTGAATTGAAAAAAATTCACTAGAGCAGTTAAACATCAGACTTGATCAAGCAGAAGAAAGAATTGGCAAACTGGAAGATGGGTCACTTGAAATTATTAAGTCAGCAAAAAGGAAAAAGAATAAAAGCCAGGCACAGTGGCTCGCACCTGTAATCATAGCATTCTGGAAGGCCTATGTGGGAGTATCACTTGAAGTCAGGAGTTCAAGACCAGCCTGAGCAAGAGTGAGACCCCATCTCTACAAAAAATAGAATCACTTGAGCCCCAGAGTTTGAGGTTGCAGTGAGCTATGATCATGATACTGCACTCTAGCTGGGGTGAGAAGAGTGAGACTCTGTCTCAGAATAAAAATAAAAATAAGAAAAAGAATTAGAAAGTGAAGACATCTAAGGGACTTACGGGACACCATGAAGTGGGCCAATATACAATTCTGAGAATCTCAGAAGGAGAAGAAAAGGAAAGAAAGGTTCCGAGAGCTTATTTAAAGAAATAATGGCCCCAAACTTCCCAAATCTGAGGAAGGAAATGAATATCCAAATTCAAGATGCTCAAAGAAACTTGTCACACACACAGGCGTTTCCATAAGATTATGTGGGTTTCTCAGCAGAAACATAGGCCAGAAGGGAGTGGTTTGATATATTCAAAGTGATAAAAGAAAAAAAAAAAAACAAACCCACAAGAATACTATATCTGGCAAAAAAGTACTTCAAAAGTCAAAGAGATGCTTGAGGCCAGGAGTTCTAGGCTGCAGTGAACTATAACCATGCCACTGCATTCCAGCCTGGGCAACAGCAAGACCTTGTCTCTAATAAAAATAAAAAATCAAGGAGAAATCAAGACCTTTCCAACAAAAGCTGAGAGAGTTCATCACCAGTGGACTATCTTTATAAGAAATGCTAATGGGACCGGGCTCCGTGGCTCACGCCTTTAATCCTAGCACTCTGGGATGCTGAGGTGGGCGGATCATTTGAGCTCAGGAGTTCAAGACCAGCCTAAGCAAGAGCGAGACCCTATCTCTACTAAAAATAGAAGGAAATTAATTGGCCAACTAAAAATATATACAAAAAATTAGCTGGGCATGGTGGTACATGCCTGTAGTCCCAGCTGCGCAGGAGGATGAGGCAGGAGGATCTCTTGAGCCCAGGAGTTTGAGATTGCTGTGAGCTAGGCTGATGCCACAACACTCTACCCAGGGCAACAGAGTGAGACTCTGTCTGAGAAAAAAAAAAAAAAAAAAAAGAAATGCTAATGGGAGTCCTTAAGTTGAAATGAAAAATTACTAGACAGCAACCACACAATATACAAAATTGTAAGGCTTTTTGGTTCAGATGAACATATAGGCATATACATATTACTGTAATATGTTAAAGGGTGGTACATAATAATATTTTAATGCTGGTGTAGAATTTAAAAGATAAAAGCTTAAAAAGTAACTACCGTGTTCCTGCAACCAAAAAGGTCTTATGTCCCCCAAAAATAAGACCTATCCATAAAATAAGCCCTAGCAGGATTTCTAAGCATTTGTGCAATAAACCCCTACGCCAAAAATAAGCACCTAGTGATGGGTGTGCTACACAGTGTATCTCACAACCCATGGCATTTCAATCGCAGGTAAGATGAGCAGACCTTCTTATCTGCCCCATGAGAGCTCTATTGCCACCATGAGAGATTGGGCCCAATGGTTCTAAAAGAAATAGAAGTTGCAAGAAATTCAGGATGGAATTTGGGATTGAGTGTTACCATGATGTTCCAGAAGAAGACAACTATACTCTGAATAAATGTAGATTGTGTACCATACTTAAAAAATAACACATTCCCCTGAAATAAGCCTAGGGTGTCTTCGAGGAAATAAAATATAAAATTTTGTCTTTATTTTCAGGGAAACATGGTATACTATAAAACTATGTTAATGGATATAAAATATAAAAGATATAATTTGTGAGATCAATAACAAAAACCAGGGGTGGGGGAAGATAAAGACATAAGAGTTTTTGCATGTGACTGGAGTTAAGCTATTATCAGTTTAAAATAGGTTGTTATAACTATCAGATTTTTATGTAATTTCCTATGGTAACAAAGAAAATACCAATCAAAGATACACAAAAGAAAAGGCAGCGGGCGTGTGGCTCTCGCCTGTAATCCTAGGCACTCTGGGAAGCCGAGGCGGGCGGATTGCTCGAGGTCAGGAGTCAAAACCAGCTGAGTGAGACCCCGTCTCTACTAAAAATAGAAAGAAATGAATTGACCAACTAAAAATATATATACAAAAAATTAGCCGGGCATGGTGGCACATGCCTGTAGTCCCAGCTACTCGGGAGGCTGAGGCAGTAGGAGATTGCTTGAGCCCAGGAGTTTGAGGTTGCTGTGAGCTAGGCTGATGCCACGGCACTCACTCTAACCTGGGCAACAAAGTGAGACTCTGTCTCAAAAAAAATTAAAAAAAAAAAAAAAGAAAAAAGGAATCAAAGCATATCATTACAAAAGAATCAGTGAAACACAAAGGAAGGCGGCAAAAGAGGAACAAAATAACTACAAGACATATAGAAAAAATTAACAAAATAGCAATATGTAAGTCTTTCCATATCAGTAATTACTTTAAATGTAAATGGATTAAACTCCTCAATCAAAAGACACAGAGTGGCTGAATGGATTAAAAAAAATAAAACAAGATCCAACCTATATGCTGTCCACCAGTGACTCACTTTAGATATAAGGACACACATAGACTGGAAGTGAGAAAATAGAAAAAGATATTCCATGCAAATGGTAACCGAAAGAAAACAGGGTTGGCCATACTCATCACACAGAATAG